AGCCCGGGGGGGGGGGCCCTGTCCATGCGCAGCATCTGCCCGCACCTGTCAGGACAGCCCGGGGGGGCCCTGTCCATGTACAGCATCTGCCCGCACCTGTCAGGACAGCCCGGGGGGGCCCTGTCCATGCACAGCATCTGCCCGCACCTGTCAGGACAGCCCGGGGGGGGGGCCCTGTCCATGCACAGCATCTGCCCGCACCTGTCAGGACAGCCCGGGGGGGCCCTGTCCATGCACAGCATCTGCCCGCACCTGTCAGGACAGCCCGGGGGGGGGCCCTGTCCATGTACAGCATCTGCCCGCACCTGTCAGGACAGCCGGGGAGGGGGGCCCTGTCCATGCGCAGCATCTGCCCGCACCTGTCAGGACAGCCCGGGGGGGGGGGGGGCCCTGGCCGCACGGCTCGCCAGCCTTATCTGTTTGCTTCTCACTCTACATCCGCTGGCAACCAGCAGTGGGCGGGGCTGACATGGCCATCGCGGCGGCCACTCCCTGCTGGTCCCTGGCTCAGGGCGCCCTGGATTTCGGCCCGGAGCCTGGGACTGCTAACATCTCCCAGGATGCTGAGGTGGGGCCGCAGGGGCCCGGCCACCCGGGGAGCAGGGCAGCCTGGTGCAGCTCCCTCTCAGGAGCCCTGCTCCTCTCAGGTGCAGCCTGGGGCTCCCCCACGCTCCCCTGGGGTATGAGGAGGAGAGAGCACCCAGTGAGCTGGCTAGGGAGGTGCCCTGGCCCAGAGTCAGCCAGGAGGGGGTGCTGCACAGTACCCAAGGCCTCCGGCCAGCAGCACCCCTCAGGGAGGTGGGGGGTCCCAGCCAGGACCTCGCCTGATGGGAGGGGCTGCTGGGCCAGGCCTCCCTCCATGGAGGCTGCCTGGGCGGTGAGTGGGGGTCCAGACCCAGCCCGCTCCGCTCCAGAGGCCCCTCCCCACTCCTGGTCCCAGGCTGGAGCACACCTGTGCCCCGGGGCCCTGGTGAGCCTCCCACACTGTCCGGTACCTGGTGTTTGGCCCCACCACAGGGCTAAGTGGACAAAAGGGCCCGCAGGCCCCTGACCCAGAAGGGCGTGGCAGCCGGCCTGTGCCGGCACAGTGCTGCGGCGGCTTTCCTGCTGGCTGCTCCTTCACCTGCCCCAGGCTGGGCCCCATCCCGGCCCCTCTTACGGCCACAGCCCTAACCTTCTGCCCACTTGCGGCCACACAGTGGGGCTGTGGACAGCGGTCAGCGCAAGGGTGGGGCCCGGGTCCAGGAGAGGGGCTCATGGCCTGTTCCCGGGGGGGAGGACCAGGCTTCGGGGGTGGGGGGCACTCCGCTGCCCTGGCCCAGGCACCGATAGGCCAGAGGTGGCTCAGGCAGCAAGTGGGGCCCAGGAGCTGAGGCCACCCACAGGGGCGCAGTCCTGGGGCCAGGCCCGGACTCCGCTGGCAGCATGCGGCTGGCTGGGTGGGCTGGGGGTTGTGCTGGGGCTGTGCTCAGGACAAGAGCCCGACAGGCCCCGGGGCAGGGGATGAGGAGGGACCCGCAGAGCCTGGGAAGATGCATGTGGGGGTCACCAGTGACCCTGGGGGCAGGGCAGGGAGGGGTTCTGGCTGAGATGAGGCTGCAGTGTCCAGGGCTGGCGTCCACCCGGCCACACACGGGGACTCAGAGGGCCACCACTGCCGGGCCTGGGAGAGCCCGCTCTGCCCCCGGGTCTCTGGTGCCCGCCCTTTGCCCAAGCAGTGGACGCCTGCCCAGGACCTTCCTGAGACATCCGGGGTCCAGGCTGGCTCTGACGTTCACACCTTGACCGTGGGTCACTGCCACGCACCCCTCAGCCAAGTGTCCCAGCGCCGGCGGGCACGACGGCCCCCACCACCCCCGGCTCAGCCACAGCCGCATTCCTGTTCCCAGAGCTCCCAGGGCCCAGTCCTTTGATCTGCTGGCGAGCGGTGCCAAGCCCTGGGGGGCAGCCCCACCTACTCCCCCCAGGGACGTCACACCTGACCCAGGCAGGGCCCAGCGGGACGGCCGGCGTGTCCATGGGGACCCTTCCTGACAGCCCTGCAGAGCGTGTCCACGCGGACCCTTCCTGAGTGACAGAGCCAAGGTCCAGTGCTGCCGCCCACGGTGGGAGTCAGACCCGAGCCTGCGCCTGGGCGGCCAGCAGGCGCCCGCTCCCGGCTCTCAACCCCAGGCTGAGGTCTGCCCCGCGGCCGTCCCTGCAGCCTCCTCTCACCACACTGGGCTCTGGGGCACTGCCTCACAGCCGGCCTGGGCCCTGTGGTGACCGCCATCCAGGGCAGGGGTCTGCGCTGGGTGTGAGAGTGGACAATCGCCCCTTGTCCGGCCGCAGGTTCCGTTTCGAAGGCCAGGCAGCGGGACTCGGCTCTTATCGCGGCCGCGGCCCTGAACAATGGCCACACACAGGCTTATCTCCCTGCCTGTGCGCTGTTTGCCAAGCGCCTGCAAGGGCTCCTGGGCCAAGGGACAAACAGGCCATTCACCGGAGTCCCCCCAGAAGGAGCCACTGACGGGGGTGCCGGCCACACTGCCTGGCCGCAGCCATGTACCAGCCCCGGGCAGCGGGGCCCAGACAGCCCGAGATGCCAGAGTGCACCGCATCTCACAGGAAACTCAAATGCAGCCACACACGTGCATATGCACATGCGTGTGTGGGTACACATGCTGTCACCTGCACACGTGTGATGTGTTGCAGAAATACATGTGCCCGTGCGTACACACAGACCGCGTGGACCTGTGCACTGGACACGCACCTGCACACGGTGTGTGAGCAGTGAATACACATGGACGCTGCATGCCACAAAGTGCACGTATGTACGAGCGAACTTCAAAAAGCTCCTGGAAATCGGAATTAGAAGGTAAGCTTACTTCACAAAGGCAGAGAGAGCAAGAGAGAGAGAGAGAGAGAGAGAGAGCGACGGCGGGGGGCTTCCATCAGCTGTTCACCCCCAGCCAGGGCTCTCGATCCGGTCTCCACCTGGGTCGCAGGGCCCCGGGCACCATCTCTCCTCCCAGGGTGTGCACGGACACGGAGCTGGGGCTCAACCCAGGGCGCGCGGCACGGGATGGGGCACCTGGCAGCGTCTTGTTCCCTGCACCAAACATGCAACACCCAGGCACAGTGTTCTCACAGCACGCATTGCCCGTGAACTGTTTGAGCAGACACCCACGCACACGCACATATAGATGAGGGAGCTTCCCAAAGTTCCTGGGGAAACGGAATTCAAAGACTAATTAATTTGATGTAAAAGCTTCTGATCTGAGAGGCAGAGAGACAGCGTGCGTGTCTGCACAGGCAACACACAACACGCACGCATCACCTGCCGCACACGTGGGCCCCGCATTCTGGGGTGAAGCCGCGCCCTGGCTGCACCTGCTCTGCCTTCATGGCTGGGAACCTGGACCTGGGCGGCCAGGACCCCAGGCCTGAGGTGTGGCTGGGAGCTGGGCGGTCCCACCCCGGCCCCTCTCCTCCAGGTCCCCGGGACTGCCCGACACAGCCTGAGCCCTCTGAGGGCAGCCTGGCTCCCCAGCAGCCCTGTCCGGCAGACAGGCCCCTCCTCGGCTGACCAGGCCACAGGGCCCTCTCGGTCCCGGTATCGCTGATGGCGTGGCTTCACTGGAGAGGGGCCCAGGACCCCTGCCCCTCCTGGTCCCCCCAGGTCCTGGCTGAGAAGCACCTCGGCCTCTCACCCTAGCAGGGGTGCCGCTGGGCACATCCAGGAGAAACAACCAAGACAGGGACGCCAGGGCAACAGAGCACCCAGCTGCCAGGGCCACAGCCAGCTGGGCGCCCCAGCCCTCACTCGGTTTTCTATCACTGAACCCCACGGTGAAACACAAGCCCCAGTGCACCTGCCACAGGCACAGGGGTAGGGCAGGATGGTGGCCCCCGGCCCAAGCAGCTGCAGGTGGGGCCCTGGGTCCACTGGGGGGGGGCACAGCCCATCAGGGGAGCCCAGACTGGAGTGTGGGTATTGGGGGGTCCCTTGATCCTGACTCTGGGGTGTAGCAGAGATGCCCCAGGAGAGGGCTGCCTGAGCCTGGCCCCTGCCTCGAGGCAGACCCCGGCCGCCTGCAGGCATGCCTCCCACAGTGTCCTTGACCCCAGCCCTAGCCCTGGGGACCCTGCCATGTGCTCCCCGAGACAAGGCCTACTTGCCTCTCGATGCCATCCCCAGGGCACCATGAACAGCAGGGGGCAGAAGCTGAGAGTGCCCCCGCAGCCCTGTGGGAAACCTCCCAGAGGTGAGCAGCCCCAGGGCCCCCCACCCTGCTCCCCCCACCCTGCTGCTCAGAAAACAGCAAGGGGGCTGCCCCCCCCCCCGGAGAGCACACAGCAGGGACCCCCACCCTGCAGGAGGCCTCCAGAGCAGGGGTCTCCAGGGCCAGCAGGCCAGCCCAGGGCCAAAGGGCCACAGGGGCCTGGGGACACCCTCAGTGAACTTCCCAGGCCCCCAGGGGGTGGCCTGTGATGGTCAGCGCCCCGGGACCACTCTGCACCTGCCCCCGCTACACCTCTGGAAGGTCTTTCCTCCCAGGGAGCAAACGGGGCAAGGAGGGGCCCAGCTCAAGGCCCCTCTTGGGGGTCCTGAGACCCAGGGGAGGACAAAGCTCCCTGGGGAGGCGTCCCAGCCCTCGGGGCTCCCCACAGCACCCTGCCAGCCCCACCCTTGCCCCCCAGGACAGCCCGGACTCAGGAGGTGTTCTCAGGACCCTGGGAGGTGTGTCAGCCCCTGCTGGGAGTGGGCGATAACGGGGCCGTGGCCAGTGCAGAATTTTCCAGAGGCTGGGTCCTGATAAAGCAGGGCCTGAGATCCTGTTTGGCCACCACTGCACCGGGGCTGGCGCGTGGGGCGCGGGCGGGCGCGGCAGGGGCAGGGCCGCCACCCCTATATAAGGTGCCCAGGGCCGGCCAGCCGGAGCAGCGCAGTGGCCAGGGCCGGACTGCTGGGACTCCCCGCCGCGGGCCGGGCCGAGGGGACCCCTGCGATGGGCGCCATGCTTGAACTGCGGCTGCCGCTGCTGCCGCTGCTGCTGTCCTGCGGGGCTGCCCTGCTGGCTGCCGGTGAGTGGGGCCCGCAGGCCACGCCCCAGGCCTGCCAGACACCCCCATGCCTCAGAGGCCTGCGCGTGGGAAAGTCCCTGGGCCTTCTCGCCTCGCCGACTCGCTGTCGGGCAGAGGCAGGCTAGCCCACGTGGGTGGGCGGGGGGTGGGACGGCTCTTGTCCCCCAGGGGCCACCCTGCAGCCCCCAAGGGCTGGGCACGTCTAGCACAGGGGGTGCCCAGCGGGGGCAGGGGTGGGGTCTCGGCCTCAGGGCGACCCCCAGGTGTGCAGCCCATCTCCCCCTTTCTCTCCCACAAAGCCCCTCCCCTACCACCCAGGCCAGGAGCCATGGAGGCCCCCACCCATGCCTCTCACCTGGGCAGCTCTCCACCTGCCCGGTGACGTCCCCCAGACCCGTGCCGGGCCCCTTCCTGGCAGGCCTGGAGGCAGGGGGCTGACCTCACAGCAGAGCCGGCTCCAGGTCGCTGCAGGTGCCGCTCTGGGAGGGTGGGGGTGGGCCACGGCCCAGGCCAGGGAGCAGCTGGGGTCCCCACTCTGCGATGGCCGCCTGAGCGCCGCCCTGCCAGCAAAGGCCAGCGAGCGGGGGTCAGCCCAGAGGCACGGGCGGCAGGCGGGCCGCCAAGCGTGCACGGGAACAGCGAGTCCGCCGCTGTCTCGCGGCCGTCCAGGGACTGGGAGAGGCCGGGGGTGGCGGCCAACTCCGGCCCGCAGGGCCCATGGGTCCTGGCCAAGCAGGCAGTCGAGTCCACAGCAAGCACAGAGGGTCCTGGCAGGAAGCGCAGACGCCGGCAGGGGGTGACTGGGGGCCAGGGCCGGCGCGGGCATGGGCAGGAGGACCTGTGGTGCCCGTGTTACACGGGGCGGTCTTGCTGTGGGACGCTGGCCTGGGGCCTGCTGTGCCCGACTCCCCCATGCTCACCCCAGAAGGAAAGGCCGGAGCTGGGGGTCCTGGAGGGGGACACCACCCCCCACCAGCCACCTGGGATGGGCACAGGGGCAGCCGTACAGAACACGGCCCGCAGGTCCAGTGGCTCCACAGCTGAGGCCCGTCCCCCGCTGAGAGGACGGGCAGGGGGCTCCCCTCAACCAGGGGCAGCAGGACCCCCACGGCCGCGCCCACACTCAGGAGCAGAAGCGACCGGGGAGTTTGGGCGGGGGCCGCAGTGGGTGATGGGCAGGATGGGCCCCCGATGAGCTGAGTTCTGGGCAACGGGGCAGGGATCGCAGCAGGGTTAGGGGTCCCCCGGGGGCCTGGACAGGCAGCAGTGGCCCCAGTCGCCGCCCAGCCAGCACTGGCACAGCCTCAGGCCCCTGGGCCACAGGAAGCCTCCCTCTGGGGCTGGGAGAGAAAGCTGCGGGGGGGGGGGGGGGGCAGGTCTGTGTCCCAGCCGCCAGGCCCTGCGGTCACCGTGACCGCGCCTGAGCCGGCTGTGGGGCCTTGGCCCTCACGCGGCCTCCAGGCGGTTCAGGGAGCCCGTGAGGGAGCCGGGGAAGAGGCCAGGAAGAGGCCCGCAGAGGCAGCCTGGCCGGGCGTCGGCCCCAGCACACCCAGGCCCACCCTCCTCTCGCTTTCCTGTGGTGGGCGGGGCCTGGCGGTGCTCTCGGTGACCCTCCCTTTGCCTGGTGGACCCCAGGAGGCCTGGCGCGCCTGGGAAGTGACAGGCGCTGGCACAGGTGCCCCAGGGCCAGAAGCTGCTCCAGCCCTCCCTGCCCTGAGGCCCCGCACACAGCCCACCTCCGCTGGCCGGCCTGGGTCCTCGAAGGAATCCGCTGGCTCCGCCCGCCCGCCCCTCCCCCAGCCCCTGCCCCCCCAGCCCCTGGCCCAGCACACTGCTCTCTGCCCTTGTGTGTGTGCACACGTGTGTGTGCATGCGTGTTGCATGGACTGTGGAATGCAACAGACCCGAAACAGGAGCCCTGTGCAGGCAACGCTGAACCAGTGAGTGAGTGAACAAATGAATGAATGAATGAGAGAGAGCAGAGAGCAGGTCCCATTGGTGAGCAGCAGGACGAGAGGCGGGGCTGGGCCTGCAGGGGTGGGGGAGGGAGCCTGGGGTGGCGAACGCGGAGGGGGCCACAGGCAGTCACCAGGCCCTGGGCTGAAGCCAAGGCCCCGGCACAGATGGGCCACCCAGGGCCCAGGCCGCCATCCTAGGGCTTAGGTGGGCTGGGGGCTTCCCCAAGAGGGGTCCGGGACAGGAGCCGCCTGGGCAGGGGACACTGAGCTCCTGCCTTGCAGACCTCACGACCAGCGACGCCTCAGACCTGGCCACGGAGGGCGAGGGCGGCCAGCAGTCCCGTAAGGCAGGCCGCAGCCCGGGGATCGGGGGTGGCGGGGTGGGGGCAGGGGCCCCCTCCCACACGGCTCCCGCTCCCTCCGCAGCCGGGGACCAGGGCTGGTGCTCCACGTGGGGGGCCGGCCACTTCTCCACCTTCGACCACCACGTGTACGACTTCTCGGGGACCTGCAACTACGTCTTCGCGGCCACGTGTGCCGACGCCTCGCCCTCCTTCAGCGTCCAGCTGCGCCGGGCGCCCAACGGGAACATCTCCAGGATCATCGTGGAGCTGGGGGCCTCGGTGGTCACCGTGAACAAGGCCACCACCATCTCCGTCAAGGACGTCGGGTAGGCCGCGTGCCCGGGCGGGCAGCTGGGGCGGGGCGGGGGCGGCACTGACCACACTCGCCCCACAGGACGGTCAGCCTGCCCTACACCAGCAACGGGCTCCAGATCACCCCCTACGGCCGGAGCGTGCGCCTGGTGGCCAAGCAGCTGGAGCTGGAGCTGGTGGTCACGTGGGGGCCGGACGCCTACCTCATGGTGCGGAGACCGTCACGGCCCTGGCCAGGCCTGGAGGGAGGAGGGGGCGGGGGACAGGGAGCCTCGTCCCGCAGTGCCCAGCAGTGCCTGCCCCACAGGTCCAGGTGGAGAGGAAGTACATGGGCCAGATGTGTGGGCTGTGTGGCAACTTTGACGGAAAGGCCACCAATGAGTTTCTCAGCGAGGACGGTAGGTGGGATGGGGTCCGGGCCGGGGGAGGGGGCCGGGCCCTCTGTGGCTCGGTCCTCACGGCGCTGACCCCCAGGCAAACTCCTGGAGCCCTACAAGTACGCCGCCCTCCAGAAGCTGGACGACCCCAACGAGATCTGTGCCTATGAGGCCATCCCCAGCACCTCCGTCCTCCAGGTCACGGACGTACGTGAGACGGCCCAGACCACCCCAGCCCACCTCCCCAGTCCTCGGCGTGCAGCGGGCTGCGGGCTGTGGCCTGGGCGCCCCCGTGACCCTCTGTGGTCCTCTGCCCAGGCCCAGAACTGCACGCAGCTGCTGGACCTCGTGGCCCCCGAGTGCAGTGTCCCCAAGGAGCCCTTGGTGCTGAGCTGCCAAGTGGACATGGCCACCTGCGCCCAGCCAGGCCAGCAGAACTGCAGCTGCGCCACGCTGTCCGAGTACTCCCGCCAGTGCAGCCTGGCCGGCCAGCCCGTGCAGCGCTGGCGGGGACCCGGCCTGTGCTGTGAGTCGGGGCGGGGCCGTCGGCGTCTCCCTGGTGTGGGAGGGGCTGAGGCGGGGCCCCCTCACCGGACCCCTGTGTCCACAGCCCTGGGCCAGTGCCCCGCCAACCAGGTATACCAGGAGTGCGGCGTGGCCTGCACCAGGACCTGCTCCAACCCACAGCACAGCTGCCCCAGCCCCTGTACTGCCGGCTGCTTCTGCCCGGAAGGTGAGGGTGGGCGCGACCCCCACACCCCCGGACCACGGGGGCTGTCGGGTCTCCGCCAGGACTTCCCCCAGAGGGCCACCAGCCGCTGCAGACCCCTGGGAGAGGAGAGGGGAGGGGGGCGGGGGGCTCTGACCTTGGCAGAAGGACCCGGAGCTGCTCTGCTAGGCCCGTGCGCCAGCCAGGGAGGGGGGAGGGGGAGGGGGAGGGGCAGGGACGCCAGAAGCCCCAGGAAACCCCTGTCCCGCAGGCACGGTCCTCGATGACCTCTCCAGCAACCACACCTGCGTGCCGATCGCCCAGTGCCCCTGCATGCTCAACGGGGCGGTCCACGCCCCCGGGGAGGTCACCAGGACCGCCTGCAGGACCTGGTCAGTGCAGGGATGAGGGGAGATGGGGGGACACAGGGGGGCTCCAGCGAGTCACCAGGACCGCCTGCAGGACCTGGTCAGTGCACAGCCGGGGGGTGGGACATGGCGGGGACACAGGGGGCTCCAGCGAGGTCACCAGGACCGCCTGCGGGACCTGGTCAGTGCACAGCCGGGGGGGTGGGACATGGCGGGGACACAGGGGGCTCCAGCGAAGTTACCAGGACCGCCTGCGGGACCTGGTCAGAGCACAGCCGGGGGGTGCTCCTGTGGGCCAGCCAGAGCGGCCGTAGAATGGCTTCAGCCCCACAGACACGGGATGGGTGCTGCCCGGCTGCCCGCCTCCTCCCCACAGCCAGTGCACCATGGGCCGCTGGTCCTGCACAGAACGGCCCTGCCCCGGCCACTGCTCCCTGGAAGGAGGGTCCTTTGTCACCACGTTTGACGCCAGGCCCTACCGCTTTCACGGCACCTGCACATACATCCTCCTCCAGGTGGGGCGAGCTCCGAGGCCGGTGGGAAGGGGGCCCCCACCCCCGTGCCTGAGCCTCCGCCTCTTCTCAGAGCCCACAGCTCCCGGACGAGGGCACCCTCATGGCCGTGTACGACAAGTCGGGCTACTCGCACTCCGAGACGTCCCTGGTCGCCGTCATCTACCTGTCCAAGCAGGTAGGGCACCAGCCTGGGCACCCCCTGGGCTCCTGCCCGCTGCCTGCCGCCCGCGGCCGCTGCTGACTCGGGCCCCCTCCCTGCAGGACAAAATCGTGATCTCGCAGGATGAGGTGATCACCAACCACGGGGACGTCAAGTGGCTGCCGTACAAGAGCCGTAGGTCCCGGGGCCTCGCCGAGCCGGGGCCGCGGAGGGGCCAGCCCGGGGAGGGCGGTGGGCAGCCGGCTGAGCACGTGTCTTGCAGGCAACATCACGGTGTTCAGGCAGACGTCCTCTCACCTCCAGATGGCCACCACCTTCGGGCTGGAGCTGGTCATCCAGCTGCGGCCCGTCTTCCAACTCTACGTCACCGTCGAGCCCCAGTTCCGAGGCCAGACCAGAGGTGAGCCGGCTTGACCCCCCTGTACCCCAGGGACGTGGCCAAGTGGCCGGCAGGAGAGGCAGCAGACCCCGGGCGGGGCCGGGCGCCATGGGGCAAGGCGATGGGACCGGGCGCCCCTCCCCCCTCACGGCCCCGCCTCCCAGGGCTCTGTGGCAACTTCAACGGCGACACCACGGACGACTTCACCACCAGCGTGGGCGTCGCGGAGGGCACCGCCTCCCTCTTCGTGGACTCCTGGCGAGCAGGGAACTGCCCGGCGGCCCTGGAGCGCGAGACCGACCCCTGCTCCATGAGCCAGCTCAACAGTGAGTGCCAGCCCAGCCTCCCACGCCCGGCCTCGGGCCACCTGCCCCCAGGCCCAGGGGCCAGGAGGGGACCCGAGACCCCCAGCTGGGCCTGTCGCCCCCAGAGGTGTGCGCGGAGACCCACTGCTCGGCGCTGCTGCAGACGGACGGCGTGTTCGGGAAGTGCCACGCCGTGGTCAACCCAAGCCCTTCTACAAGGTGGGGCCCGCGGGGACGCTGGCCTGGCTGGGGCCCCCCGGGGAGGGCCGTGCCCCTCAGCCTGCTCACGCGGTGTCTCTGCCCGCAGAGGTGTGTGTACCAGGCCTGCAACTACGAGGAGACCTTCCCCCACATCTGCAGCGCGCTGGGTGACTACGCCCACGCCTGCGCCTCCCAGGGCGTCGTGCTCTGGGGCTGGAGAAGCAGCGTGGACAACTGCAGTGAGTGCGGGCGGGGGCGAGGGCGGGGGCGAGGGCGGGCCCCTCCCCCACTGCCTGACCAGCATCCCCCAGAGCAGCCCCGGCGTGGGGGCGAGGTCACGGGCAGGCCCCTCCCCCGCTGCCTCCCCGGATGCCTGACCCGCATCCCCCGCAGCCGTCCCCCTGCACGGGCAACCGCACGTTCAGCTACGACAGCCAGGCCTGCAACCGCACCTGCCTGTCGCTGTCGGACCCCACGGCCGAGTGCCACGCCAGCGCCGTGCCCGTGGACGGCTGCAACTGCCCCCAGGGCACCTACCTGAACCACAAGGCGGAGTGCGTGCGCAAGGCCCAGTGCCCCTGCCTGCTGGAGAGCAACAAGTTCATCCTGGCCGAGCAGTCCACCATGGTCAACGGGGCCATCTGGTGAGGGGCCGGGCCGGGGAGCGGTCGGGCCGGGGAGGGGCCGGGCTGGGGAGGGGCCGCCGCGGGGCTCACGTGGCCTCTCTCTTGCAGCTACTGCCTCAGCGGACGGCTGAGCTGCCCGGGGCAGCCACAGATGCTGCTGGGTACGTAAACAGGCAAGGCTGCAGACCTGGGCTCTCGGTGCCCTCGGCCTGCCCTGAGCCGGCCTCGCCCCCGCCCCGCCTCTCCCACAGCTTCCTGCCCGGCCCCCAAGACCTTGGAGACCTGCAGCCAGACCTCCGAGAACAAGTACGGGGCGGCGTGCGCCCCCACCTGCCAGATGCTGGCCACCGGCATCGCCTGTGTAAGGGGCGTAGGAGCAGGACCTGCCCGGGGCCACTCCCTCTCTCTGGCCATCTTCCCTCTGTCCCCACGGCTGGTGCCCAGCGCGGGTGGGCGGTCACGGGTGGCCCGGAGGCCAGGCAGCCGGGGGCGGATGCTTGTCCTGGAGTCCTACGCACAGCTCCCTGTGGGAGTGGCGGCCATCAGCGCCCCAACCTGCTGCCTGTGGGAGGGGGAGCCTTGCTAAGCAAAGCCCAGCTGCCCACAGAGATCCCCGAGCCAGGTGGACACAGCGGGAGGGGCCTGGGGCCGGGGAGGACAGCAGCAGGCTGACCCCAGCTCCCCTCAGGTGCCCACCAAGTGCGAAGCCGGGTGTGTCTGTGCCGAGGGGCTCTATGAAGACGCTAACGGGCAGTGTGTGCCCCCCGAGGAGTGCCCCTGTGAGTTTGCTGGGGTCTCCTACCCCGGGGGTGCCGAGCTCCACACCGACTGCAAGACCTGGTGAGCCGCAGCCTCGCCCTGCCGTCCAGGGCCACTGGGCGGGGAGGGGGGGGGCTGCACTGGTGTCCAGGCGCTGAGGGTGTCCTGGAGGACGGGTGCCCTGCAGCCCCCACGAGCCCACCCCGCCTTCCGTGCAGCACCTGCTCTAAGGGGAAGTGGACGTGCCAGCAGAGCGCCCACTGCCCGTCCACCTGCGCCCTCTACGGGGAGGGTCACATGGTCACTTTCGACGGACAGCGCTTTGTGTTTGATGGCAGCTGCGAGTACATCTTGGCCACGGTAGCCCGCGGTGGGGGAAGGGCTCAGGGGGTCTGCTGGGGGGGTGGCCTCAGGGGGCTCCCCCTCACCGTCCCTCCCCGCAGGACGGCTGCGGAGCCAACGACTCCCGGCCCACCTTCAAGATCCTGACCGAGAACGTCGTCTGTGGCAAGTCGGGAGTCACCTGCTCCCGCGCCGTAAAGATCTTCCTGGGGGTGAGTGGCCGCGGGAGGGGCCCCGGGCCTGTCCCTGCTGAGCAGCCCCCTCACCTGTAGGGCCGGGGCTGCCTGTGCCCTGGCTACAGGATGCCCTCTGGGCTCAGGACAGGGGCCTGGCCGTGGAGCACCCTCAGCCCTTGGCCAGGCTCCCGGGCCCCAGAGCTGGCCCACAGCAGGTGCCCAGCCCTGCCCCAGAGAGCTCGGTTCTGGGCAGGGGGCGGGACGGGGGGCGGTGCTGGTGGCAGAACCAGGGCCCGGGACTGGGGAAGTGGGCAGGCGGGCAGCCTGGTGACGGCCCCGCCCCCGCAGGACCTGTCCATCACACTAGCAGACAGAAACTACACGGTCAGCGGGGAAGACCCCTCCGTGTACTTCCGAGTGAAGCCCAGCTCCCTGAGCCTGACCCTGGACCTGGGCCTGCCCGGCAAGTACAACCTGACGCTGGTCTGGAACAAGCACATGGCCGTGTACATCACGATCGAGCGCGTGTCCCAGGTACCCGCGCGGCCCGGGCGCCCCCCTCGGCCACCCCGCCGGCCGGGGCCGCCCACCGAGCCCCGCCTGCCCCCCCCACCCCAGGACGCGCTCTGCGGCTTGTGCGGCAACTACAATGGCAACATGAAGGACGACTTCGAGACGCGCAGCCAGTACGTGGCGTCCGACGAGCTGGAGTTCGTGAACTCGTGGAAGGAGAGCCCGCTGTGCGGCAACCTGCGTGCCGTGGCCGAGCCCTGCAGCACCAACAGCTTCCGCCTGGCCTGGGCCGAGCGCAAGTGCAGCATCATCAACAGCCAGACCTTCGCCGCCTGCCACAGCAAGGTGGGCCCGGGAGGGCGTGCTGCAGGCTCCAGGCCTGCTCGGGGTGGCCCCGCCCCACGGCCCCCCAGAACAGTCCCTGAAAGGAACGAAAGGAGGGAACACCCCTTGGAGCCGGGGGGCGCCCCATGGCGGCACGGCCAGTGCAAAGGCCCCGAGGCAGGGACCCACTCCGCGTGCCTCCCGAAGTTCCGGGCAAGGGTGTGGTGGGGAGGGGGGCTGTGGGGTCGGCAACACCGTGACCCCAGCTAGGGGTCTGTGGTAGCACGAACCCGGATCAGAACCCCTCCCTCGGCAGCCCCTGGCCTGGGGCCCGCGGCCTGGCTTCCAGTCACGGTTCTGGTTCCCACGTGGTGGACAGGCACACAGGGTCGGGGCGCCGAGCCCTCAGGGCAGCCAGAGGCTGACTGGCACTCCCTGCCCTGCCAGGTGTACCGCATGCCCTACTACGAGGCCTGTGTGCGAGACACGTGCGGGTGCGACACAGGGGGGGACTGTGAGTGTCTCTGTGACGCTGTCGCTGCCTACGCCAAGGCCTGCCTGGACAAGGGCGTGTGTGTGGACTGGAGGGCCCCAGACTTCTGCCGTGAGTGTCTGGCACCTGCCCGGCCCAGGGCTGCCCCCACCCCGAGCCGCACCTCCCTGTGGCTGGTCTGGGTTGGGGTTGGGGTGGGGTAGGGGCGGGGCCGGGGCCAGGTCAGGGGCGGGGACTCAGAGGTCCCTCCCTGTGGCTTGCCCTGGTTGGGGTCCCCGTTGGGGTCGGGTTGGGGCCCAGCCCAGGCCCCGCCAACTCACTCATGCCCTCCTCTCTCCCAGCGATCTACTGTGACTTCTACAACACGCACACGCAGGTCGACGGCAACGAGTACCAGTACACGCAAGAGGCCAACTGCACCTGGCACTACCAGCCCTGCCTGTGCCCCGGCCAGCTGCAGAGCTTCCCGGAAACCAACATCGAAGGTTGCGGCGGCAGGGACGGGCTGGGGGGCAGGGCACCCCTCCCATCATGCACAGCGTGCTCACTCCATCACACACTCCAGCCCTGCACACACACTCATTCTCACACTCCCCCAGTCACACACGCAGGCTCTCAGCATTCACTCACACACCCACTGTGACATCCATCGCAAGCACCCCCTCCCTCACACGCACACACACGTAACTCACATGCACTCCCTCCCTCACACGCACACACATGTACTCACACGCACACACACATGTACACACATACCCACATGCACACACATGTACACTCACATGCACTCCCTCCCTCACACGCACACACACGTACACTCACACACACACTCCCTCACACGCACACACACACATGTACACTCACACATACCCACATGCACACACACATGTACACTCACATGCACTCCTTCCTTCACACGCACACACACATGTACACTCACACATACCCACACACTCACATGTACACTCAACACGTATTCCCTCACATGCACACACACCCACATGCACACTCCCTCACGTATACACATGTACACTCACATACCCCCACACACACTCACATATACACTCACTTGTATTCCCTCCCTCACACACACTCCCTCACACGCACACACACATGTACACTCACACCCACACATGCACACGTATTCACCCACATGCACATTCACATGTACACACATGTACTCCTTCCCTCACACGTACCCACTTCCTCATACACACACACAGCCTCACATGCACACTCCCTCACATGCACACACACATGTACACTCACACGTACTCACTCACCCACACACGTGTACACTCACATGTATTCCCTTCCTCACAAGCACACACACTCCCTTAGCTCACATGTCCTGATCCCCCGTGTGCAGGTCGGTCATGTGGGTCGGGGTCAGGGGCGTGACCATGCAGTAAACTAGAGGCCCTGTCTTCGGAGAGATGCCTGCAAACAAATCGAGTCTCAGCTGAGAGGAATGGGAGCTGCCCTGTCCAGCTGGGAGGCACAGGGAGGCCTCCATGGGAACCACACCTCTGGGCAGGGACTTGAAGGAGGCAAGTGGGGGCACAGGGCGGCGAGGGTGAGGGCTGCAGCAGGCCCTGAGGAGCCGACTGTGCTCCAAGCTCCCAGACAGGGGGTGGGCGTGGACAGACCATGGAGGGACCCTGCGCAGAGGAGGCCCGGTGGCAGGGACAGCAGCAGGGATGGGGAACTTGGGCCTGGCTCCGAGACCTTGAGAGGAGGGGGCCTGGCGTCTGCAGCCCTCAGAATGCACTGATGGACAGGATGGACCGGGCAGGGCAGGCCTCTGGGTGGTGCGCAAGGAGCCTGTTTGGCTCTCAGGAGGTGCCCTAACCAGCCCAAGAAGCCATAGACAGGGGTCCTCTGTCTGTGGCCCAGGGGACAGCAGGGCTGCCATGTTCCAGGAATCACAGGTTGCCATGGACTGAAACCCACTCTGGCCAGGCCAGCAAGGAGAGGGGAGTGGACGGAGAAGGGAAGGGGTGTGGCCCGAGGGAGGCCTGGGTGGGCAAGGGGGCCAGGTGGGGCCACTGGAGTGGGGAGGCGTGCTGGAGGCAGACAGCCGTGGGGATCCCAGCAGGGCCATCCCAGAGGCACCCTGGGGGGAGGGGCGGCTGGGCGGGGCCCTGACCATGCCTGGTGCTCCCCCACCCTAGGCTGCTACAACTGCTCCCAGGACGAGTACTTCGACCACAACGAGGGGACCTGTGTGCCGTGCGGTAAATCCCGCCAGCTGACCAAGGGCCCCGCCCCCCACGTAGGCAGAAAGTGGGTGCTTGTGCACCCCCACAAGGCCCCTACAGGCCTCTGGGGCCTGCACCCCTAGGCTCACGGCCTCCAGCTGGAGAGCAGAGCATGGAACCCCATCAGCCACCAGCTCCTCTCCTCCCCTGGCCTCAGCGAGAGGCCACCAGGGTGGGCAGGTTTTTGGGGTGTGAATGGGAGGGCTCTGGAGTCTGGATACGGCCCTGAACCCCCAGGGCCACAATACCCTGAGATGGCAGCCTCTCCCCCCACAGCCTGTGTCAGCCAAGGGTGGCAGGGTGTGCAGGTGGGGAGGTGGACAGGGCGTGCAGGTGGGGAGGTGCAGGCTGGGCCCTTGCCAGGGGCCCCAGCCTTGGTGCCCTGACCATGGGGAGCACCTTGAACTCCTTAGGGCCCCAGGGGAGCTCACCGCGCTCTCTTCTTGCAGTGCCGCTGTCCACCACGCCCACCACGCCGCTGTCCACCACGCCTACCACATCACCGTCCACCACGCCGCCATCCACCATGCCTCTGTCTACCACGCCCACGACGCTGCCGCCCACCACAGGTGACACTGACCCTCTCCCCAGGGCTCTCCCAAGGGTCAGCCAGGCAGGTGCAGGGAGGGCAGGATGCAGGACGGAAACAGCAACCCTGCGAGGTCAGGCTCCAGGCCAGGACGGGTTCACCGGCCTCACCAGGCACACAGTCCAGGGCCTGAGGACAGGGAGTGCGGGCCAGTGCCTGCCCCATACCACAGCACATCTGTCCGCTCGGGCTCATCACCCACCCCAACGCCCAGCCTTCCGGGCACAGCCTGGGCCTCTCCCCCACAGATGTAGGGATCCACTCGAGCCCCTGGACCACACCCACGCCCTCCTCAGGAGGTGACACAGAGGGGCCCCTGCAGGCCCTGGCAGGGGCGCAGCTGGGGAAGCTCCTGGGACATCTGAAACACACAAGCAGGCCCAAGTGTGGACCCCTCCCAGCAGCCTTGCACTGAGGACGTCTGGGGGACTCTAGGGGCCCCTCCCTGCAGCCTTATGGACTCCACACAGCCCAGGGACACGAGAGGGGATAGGGCATTGGTCCACATCAGCCGAGGAAGGGTAGGGGGCCTGGGGCAGCCCACACAACCTGTGGGCACGACTCCTGCGCCAGGCCACCGAGGCCGGGCAGGCAGCAGCAGGACACGACGGTCAGCCCAGGGAACTGAGAGGCAGCGGTCTCAACACTAACTGGACAGTGAAAATGGACAGAAAAGGGGTGTGAGGCTGGCGGGGCTACACACACGCACACATGACTCAGCCAGCACACAAGAGCCACCACCCTGCTACTCCCAACAGCCACGCCGCGACACACAGTGACACAGGCCACGAGCCTGCCGCAGGCATCCTCCCCGAGACCTGCCACCAGCTCCACAGCACAGCACACAGCGCGCACCACGGACACGGCACCGAGCCCCGCACAGACGGCGACCACTCCCATGCAGGGTGAGTCACAGGCAGGCGGGAGGGCACACAGCGCAGCCCCAGGGATGGCTCTGGACAGCAGACACGGCGAGCAGACGCAGGCCCACAGGCGCTCACGAAGCACCCAGGCCAGCAGTGTGCACAGGTCGAGCACCACAGGCCCCAGGCAGCGCTCAAGAACCCCAGGGCTCTGTGACAGGAACGCTCGCCAGGGCACCAGAGGCCGGAGAACAAGGGGGAGGGACGGGGAGAAGAGGCTGGGCAGGCAGGAGAGGAACGAGCACAGCGGACGGCAAGCGGGGACCCCAGAGGTAACGAGTGCACCACCTGCTTCCCCCAGCAAACTCCACACAGCAAACCCCAGAGACAACTGCCAGCCACAGGACAACGAGCACAAATCCAACTCCCGCCCCCAGCACCGGGCCATCCTCAACCACACACAAAACAGGAACCGTCACACATCCCACACAAACGCCAAAGACCACAGAGAGAACACCATACACAGAACCCACGACCAGTCCCACCATCACCGCAGATACCACCACCAGGGCCACAACCACAACCTCAACCAGCACCACCACCGCAGGCACCAAGAACACGTTGCCAGTGGCGACGGCGAACACAGAGGCACAGAGTTCCCACAGCACAGCCACGACCGCGGTCTCTGCAAGGTCAACCCCTGCTTCCACACCGCACCACCAATCCACACCAGCGCCACCTACCACGGCCACAACCAGTACAGCAGTCCCCACGCCCACCACCACCGCGCCCCCTACTACCACCCTTAAGCCAACTCGCCCCCCACAAACAGTGCCAGTCTCCACTGCCACCACCACACTGACCACCCAGGCTCCTACTTCTCTCAGCACTGCCAGGACTTCTGTCTCTGTGGTGTCAACCCCATCCGACACATCTCCCGAACAACCGACCACAGCCCCACCTACCACCTCCACCACCACCACCACCACCACCACCACCAGCAGCACAGCCCCAACAGCCACCACCAGAGAGACTGTCTCTCTCACCACCCTCACCACCTCGTCTGTACCCAGCAGTCCTCACACTTCCTTCACAACCCCATCCCGCACCACCGTCCATGCCTCTACCACCGCACACACCACGGTTCTCCCGACACCAACAACCCGTCCAGTCCACCAGCACGCTTCCTACATCCTCAAGCCAGGAGACCTCACTGCCCACAAGTTCTCCCTCGCTGTCCACTGCTTCGGTCACGACCACCTCTCACGAGCTGACCACTCCGACAGCACCAGAGACCACCTCATCCCCATACACCCCCACGCCCACCACCACCACGCCCCCTACTACCACCCTTAAGCCAACTCGCCCCCCACATTCAGTGCCAGTCTCCACTGCCACCACCACACTGACCACCCAGGCTCCTACTTCTCTCAGCACTGCCAGGACTTCTGTCTCTGTGGTGTCAACCCCATCCGACACATCTCCCGAACAACCGACCACAGCCCCACCTACCACCTCCACCACCACCACCACCACCACCACCAGCAGCAGCACAGCCCCAACAGCCACCACCAGAGAGACTGTCTCTCTCACCACCCTCACCACCTCGTCTGTACCCAGCAGTCCTCACACTTCCTTCACAACCCCATCCCGCACCACCGTCCATGCCTCTACCACCGCACACACCACGGTTCTCCCGACACCAACACCCGTCCAGTCCACCAGCACGCTTCCTACATCCTCAAGCCAGGAGACCTCACTGCCCACAAGTTCTCCCTCGCTGTCCACTGCTTCGGTCACGACCACCTCTCACGAGCTGACCACTCCGACAGCACCAGAGACCACCTCATCCCCATACACCCCCACGCCCACCACCACCACGCCCCCTACTACCACCCTTAAGCCAACTCGCCCCCCACATTCAGTGCCAGTCTCCACTGCCACCACCACACTGACCACCCAGGCTCCTACTTCTCTCAGCACTGCCAGGACTTCTGTCTCTGTGGTGTCAACCCCATCCGACACATCTCCCGAACAACCGACCACAGCCCCACCTACCACCTCCACCACCCACCACCACCACCAGCCAGCCAGCACAGCCCCAACAGCCACCACCAGAGAGACTGTCTCTCTCACCACCCTCACCACCTCGTCTGTACCCAGCAGTCCTCACACTTCCTTCACAACCCCATCCCGCACCACCGTCCATGCCTCTACCACCCGCACACACCACGGTTCTCCCGACATCAACACCCGTCCAGTCCACCAGCACGCTTCCTACATCCTCAAGCCAGGAGACCTCACTGCCCACAAGTTCTCCCTCGCTGTCCACTGCTTCGGTCCACGACCACCTCTCACGAGCTGACCACTCCGACAGCACCAGAGACAACCTCATCCCCATACCCCCACGCCCACCACCACCACGCCCCCTACTACCACCCTTAAGCAACTCGCCCCCCACATTCAGTGCCAGTCTCCACTGCCACCACCACACTGACCACCCAGGCTCCTACTTCTCTCAGCACTGCCAGGACTTCTGTCTCTGTGGTGTCAACCCCATCCGACACATCTCCCGAACAACCGACCACAGCCCCACCTACCACCTCCACCACCACCACCACCACCACACGCAGCGCAGCATAGCCCCAACAGCCACCACCAGAGAGACTGTCTCTCTCACCACCCTCACCACCTCGTCTGGTACCCAGCAGTCCTCACACTTCCTTCACAAACCCCATCCCGCACCACCGTCCATGCCTCTACCACCGCACACACCACGGTTCTCCCGACACCAACAACCCGTCCCAGTCCACCAGCACGCTTCCTACATCCTCAAGCCAGGAGACCTCACTGCCCACAAGTTCCTCCCTCGCTGTCCACTGCTTCGGTCACGACCACCTCTCACGAGCTGACCACTCCGACAGCACCAGAGACCACCTCATCCCCATACACCCCCACGCCCACCACCACCACGCCCCCTACTACCAACCCTTAAGCCAACTCGCCCCCCACATTCAGTGCCAGTCTCCACTGCCACCACCACACTGACCACCCAGGCTCCTACTTCTCTCAGCACTGCCAGGACTTCTGTCTCTGTGGTGTCAAACCCATCCGACACATCTCCCGAACAACCGACCACAGCCCCACCTACCACCTCCACCACCACCACCACCACCACCACCAGCAGCAGCATAGCCCCAACAGCCACCACCAGAGAGACTGTCTCTCTCACCACCCTCACCACCTCGTCTGTACCCAGCAGTCCTCACACTTCCTTCACAACCCCATCCCGCACCACCGTCCATGCCTCTACCACCGCACACACCACGGTTCTCCCGACACCAACACCCGTCCAGTCCACCAGCACGCTTCCTACATCCTCAAGCCAGGAGACCTCACTGCCCACAGTTCTCCCTCGCTGTCCACTGCTTCGGTCACGACCACCTCTCACGAGCTGACCACTCCGACAGCACCAGAGACCACCTCATCCCCATACACCCCCACGCCCACCACCACCACGCCCCCTACTACCACCCTTAAGCCAACTCCGCCCCCACATTCAGTGCCAGTCTCCACTGCCACCACCACACTGACCACCCAGGCTCCTACTTCTCTCAGCACTGCCAGGACTTCTGTCTCTGTGGTGTCAACCCCATCCGACACATCTCCCGAACAACCGACCACAGCCCCACCTACCACCTCCACCACCACCACACCACCACCAGCAGCAGCACAGCCCCAACAGCCCACACCAGAGAGACTGTCTCTCTCACCACCCTCACCACCTCGTCTGTACCCAGCAGTCCTCACACTTCCTTCACAACCCCATCCCGCACCACCGTCCATTGCCTCTACCCACCGCACACACCACGGTTCTCCCGACACCAACACCCGTACCAGTCCACCAGCACGCTTCCTACATCCTCAAGCCAGGAGACCTCACTGCCCACAAGTTCTCCCTCGCTGTCCACTGCTTCGGTCACGACCACCTCTCACGAGCTGACCACTCCGACAGCACCAGAGACCACCTCATCCCCATACACCCCCACGCCCACCACCACCACGCCCCCTACTACCACCCTTAAGCCACTCGCCCCCCACATTCAGTGCCAGTCTCCACTGCCACCACCACACTGACCACCCAGGCTCCTACTTCTCTCAGCACTGCCAGGACTTCTGTCTCTGTGGTGTCAACCCCATCCGACACATCTCCCAGAACAAACCGACCACAGCCCCACCTACCACCTCCACCACCACCACCACCACCACCAGCAGCAGCACAGCCCCAACAGCCACCACCAGAGAGACTGTCTCTCTCACCACCCTCACCACCTCGTCTGTACCCAAGCAGTCCTCACACTTCCTTCACAAACCCCATCCCGCACCACCGTCCATGCCTCTACCACCGCACACCCACGGTCTCCCCGACATCAACACCCGTCCCAGTCCACCAGCACGCTTCCTACATCCTCAAGCCAGGAGACCTCACTGCCCACAAGTTCTCCCCTCGCTGTCCACTGCTTCGGTCACGACCACCTCTCACCGAGCTGACCACTCCGACAGCACCAGAGACCACCTCATCCCCATACACCCCCACGCCCACACCACCCGCCCCCTACTACACCCTTAAGCCAACTCGCCCCCCCACATTCAGTGCCAGTCTCCACTGCCACCACCACACTGACCACCCAGGCTCCTACTTCTCTCAGCAACTGCCAGGACTTCTGTCTCTGTGGTGTTCAACCCCATCCACACATCTCCGAACAAACGACCACAGCCCCACCTACCACCTCACCACCACCACACCACCCACCGAGCAGCCAGCACAGCCCCAACAGCCACCACCAGAGAGACTGTCTCTCTCAACCACCCTCACCAACCTCGTCTGTACCCAGCAGTCATCACATTCCTCACAACCCATCCCGCACCACCGTCCATGCCTCTACCAACGCAACACACCACGGTTCTCCCGACATCAACACCCCGTCCAGTCCACAGCACGCTTCCTACATCCTCAAGCAGGAGACTCACTGCCCACAAGTTCTCCCTCGCTGTCCACTGCTTCGGTCACGACCACCTCTCACGAGCTGACCACTCGACAGCACCAGAGACCACCTCATCCCCATAACCACCCCACGCCCCCATCCTACCAACCTTAAGCCAACTCGCCCCCACATTCAGTGCCAGTCTCCACTGCCACCACCACACTGACCACCCAGGCTCCTACTTCTCTCAGCACTGCCAGGACTTCTGTCTCTGTGGTGTCAACCCCATCCCGACACATCTCCCGAACAACCGACCACAGCCCACCACTACCACCTCCACACCACCACACACCACCACCAGCAGCAGCACAGCCCCAACAGCCACCACCAGAGAGACTGTCTCTCTCACCACCCTCACCACCTCGTCTGTACCCAGCAGTCCTCACACTTCCTTCACAACCCCATCCCCGCACCACCGTCCATGCCCTCTACCACCGCACACACCACGGTTCTCCCGACACCAACACCCGTCCAGTCCACCAGCACGCTTCCTACATCCTCAAGCCAGGAGGACCTCACTGCCCACAAGTTCTCCCTCGCTGTCACCTGCTTCGGTCACGACCACCTCTCACGAGCTGACCACTCCGACAGCACCAGAGACCACCTCATCCCCATACACACCCCACCACCACCCCCTACTACCACCCTTAAGCCAACTCGCCCCCCACATTCAGTGCCAGTCTCCACTGCCACCACCACACTGACCACCCAGGCTCCTACTTTCTCCAGCACTGCCAGGACTTCTGTCTCTGTGGTGTCAACCC